ACCAAGCCAGGTGCGCTTGGATGGAAAAAAGACAGGGAGACCACCACCAACGATAGGAGGAAACCATCTCCTCCCACCCAGTCGGCACAGACGACACGACGGCGGGACGCGCAAGAACAGCGACAAGGACAACTAAACAACCAAACCCGGTTTGGTGTGTTTAATCCTTGCTTTTCTTCTTCTTCTTCTTCTTCTCTGAAGAAGGCGCCGAGTCGACGTCCTTCTCCTTCTTGTCCTTCTTCTTCTTCTTCTTCTTGTCCGGCGTGGCCACGGCAGGATCGGCATCCTCCTCATCATCATCATCGACGTGGCTGCGCTTGGCCTTCTTGCCGCTGTTGGGAGGCACAGCAGCGCCCTCGCCACCAGACGACTTGAGACCCTCCATGACCTTGTGCATCACATCCACATTCTTGCGGGGAGTGGCACCCGTCTCGTAAAAGCTCAGGCGCTCCTCAACCTGGTCGCGCAGCTCCTCACCAAACTTGGAGGTGAGCGAGTCGGAAAAGCAATCGATACGCGAGGCAATCGAGCACTTGTTGGCCAAATAACTGTACAGAACAAGGAAAAATAAAAAAAAATAAAAGGCAAGTGAGATATACGCATAAAACCAAATAATAATAATAATCATATTAATCATAATAAAGAAAAAGGTGGTAACAACAGTTTCAACATACCGAGATATCCTGCCCTTGTTCTTGGTGCCAGCGCGTCCAATAAAGGACGAGTGGAAGATGAGGCCATACTTGGGAGTGTTGCCACGGGTCTTGAGGGCACGGAAAAGAGCCTTCTCAGCGCCCAAAATCTGGACGGTCGAGGCCGGGTACTTGGCCAGGTTGGTCAGGCTGCCCGCGTGGGAGATGAGACGGGCGCCAACCTGCTCGCCAATGAGGGCGGCAAGGTTGGGAGCGCACGAGTGCATCTTGGTCTTGAGGTACTCGTGGAGCTGCTGGCGGTACTCGGCCAGCGAGACGACACGAAGGGCAAAGGCCTTGACCGAGAGCAAGTCAATCTCGGAAATGTCCATACCCATCGAGGTCTTGGAGGCGTCAATGATCTGCTGAGCCTTGGCGCTGTCCATGGTCAACTCCTCAAGCTTGTCAAGCCTAAAAGCCAGGAATGAACCACATGAGGTTGTGAGAGATCAGAAAAAACAGAGCCAATTCCCGTGGACACAACTCAAAAAGAATAATGAAAGAAATGTAAGCCGTATGGGTTTTCTCAAATCATCATAACCGCGTCGCGGTGCAAAAAGAGCGCCCATGACCGAGGCCAAGAAGCACTCTTTTGACATTAGAACGTGATATGGAATATACGGACGCTGGCCACCACCCGAGACCCGAGGGCCTGAGGTGGGGGCGAGCTTGGTTTACGATGGCACGACATGGAACAAATGCCATTCCGCCTTTCGGTGGTGACAGTCCATCATCAGCACCCACAAGGAGCAATGATGACCCGACTGCCTGGCATGTTCAGCGTCGAAGAGGGGACGCACGAGTGGCCAGACCCGCGCAAACATCCCTCCCATCGATTCTCAAAAAAAAAAAAAAAAAAAAAAAAAAAAAAAAAGACAATCCCTCAGCGTGCAAGGAAAACAACTGAACAAACATTCAAGTAGGTATTGTGGCGAGCGAACAACGTACATGTCATCCTTGAGGCTGGAGCGGCGGCCAATGAGATGGGCGATGCGGGCAAAGACAATGTTGTCGGCCACAATCTTGGAGAGCTCGGGAAAGTGGTAGCTGTACCACTCCCTATCAACACAATGCGTTTGGACAAGCACATTGAGCGTGAGTGTAAGGGAAATGGGGACAGGGTGTGAAGGGCGTGATAAAAGTGCGGTCAAGACACGACAACAGGGAGATCAGCCAAACTGTGAAAGAACAAAATGTTCAACATTGCTAGTTCAGTGTAGGTAAGGAAAAAGTTGCATCACTTCTCAGTTGGAATGTTTGTAAAAGGACACGCACACAAATGAGTTACATACTTGATGCGCATGCTAAAGGTGTTGATGTCCTTGTCGAGCTGGTCAAGGAGGCTGATGGCCTGGATGATCATGTTATCAACACGGTGAACGTTGAATTTGACCTTGGCACGCGAGTAGCTGTGACCGAGACCGAGCTGGGCCTTTTCAACAAGGGTATCCTTGAGGCTCTTGTGCATCTTGGAAAAGTGCATACGGATGCCACGGATGAGTTCGGGGACGACGCCCGTGTGGTCGCACTTGATGTGCACCTCCTCGGCAATGGCTTGGCCGAGCTTGTAATCGCTGACACCGAGGGTGACCTTTGACTTTTTCACCGAGGCGGCTTTGGGGAGATGAGTCTCCAAAAAGTCCTTGAGCAGCTCGGGCATCATACCCTCGCTGACCATGTTAATGTTTTCGAGGGCATCCTGGGCCGTGCGGAAAGGCATGATGGCCTTGAGCTTGCAAATCTTGCCAAACTTGCCGAGGTCTTGGACGGCATCCTAGACGTGATGAAGAAGAGAGAGCGGCAGAGAGAGAGCAAGGGGGAGACATGTACGTCATGAGCGACTTTGGTTGTGGTCATCAGGGGTTGTTCATGCACTAAGAGCGCTGCCAAAGTTGCCATGCACGACCGGGGGCCTCCTTGATGTCCCTTCATGCAACGACCCAGTGACGCTAGCTTCATGGCAGCTTGAACCACCCACACAGCAGCAGCACCAGCGCCAGTCGCCCAACCCCACTGCCTCCAATTCCCTCCCATCCCACCCCAACCAGCGCCACCAGCCAGGCACCAACCTGAACGCTATCGAGCTGGATGCCAATGTCCTCCGACTCGGCGACATCAAAGAGGGCATAGCCGATGGCGGCCTCGTACAGCACCACGAGGTCGTTGGTCGCCATCTTGGACGAGTTCCCCGTGAACGAAAATGAATCAGTTTCAACCCCGTTTTTCCTTGCTCACTCATTCAAAATATCTTCCAAGGCTGAGCCAGCCGTCACCACACGCTGTCGGGTGTGAAAGTGTGCGGTGTGTCACACGTTTGGTATCGTCTGACAATGTGCGTGCAGCGGGCGGTGGGACTGTAATTTGCGTTACACTATCCGTTGGACATTGAGTCTGCACGGAGACTGTGATGAGTGTGATGAGTCTCCAGGTTTACGTGTGTGTGTGTGTGTGTGTGTGTGTGTGTGTGTGTGTGTGTGTGTGAGGCGTGAATGGCAGCCGGCAGCCGGCAGCTGGCCGCACCGCGATAAACGGCAGCCCCGGGGGCTGTACCCAGTTACAAGGGCATGATATTTGGTCTTCTCTACTCTCGAGTTTTTCGCCAACCCCGGCTCTTGTTCTTTTGGAGAAGTGCTCCTCATCCCATCATCCCATCATCATCACAACAACAAAGCGAGGTATCCCACACACGTAGCCTATTTTAACACAGAGTCCCCCTTGTAAGTCCCACACTTGAGACGTAAAGCACACCTTTTGCTGATGTTTCTGGAGGAGGACGATTTGCAAAGAAGACACGGCATGATCAAACGGCAGCGCCAGAGTACGTTGAAGCAGTCCGAGACTGCAAACGGCAACAGGACGTGATTCCCAGGCACCCCCTCGCCGCTCGCCGTCAAAGGCTCTCCCCGACTCTCAACTTCTCT